GCATTTGATTTCAAAAGGCTGAACTCTGGGTACCCTTCTGCCGTCCGGTGGTGCTCCGTTTCCTAAACGTGGGGATTTTGGGGGGGAAGGGGGGGTGGCGCGGAGGGGACGTGGGGATATTGAGGGGAAGGGGGGTGGCGGGGAGGAGGGGACGTGGTCATATTTGGGGGGGAAGGGGGGTTGGTGGCGGGGGGGAGGGAGCGAGGGCGGGGTGGTTCACAGGAAAGGGATTTCGGCGAAGCCACTTCATCATCGATCATGAACTAGAGAGCAGCCTCCCCGGCTTCTCTCCATTTCATGATCGATGCCAAGGAGGCATTTGATTTCAAAAAGCTGAACTCTGGGTACCCTTCTGCCGTCCGGTGGTGCTCCGTTTCCTAAACAGAGTGTATTGTTGAGAGAACCAATGTTTTGATCTGCATGTGCTCGTATTTGGATTTAATTCCACCCTTTCATTGTACTGCAAGTGCCACTGCACCGCATCGAGTCCATGGAATTTTAGTAGTGTGCATATGGACTGAGTGTGGACTGGTACTTCCTTTAGCCAATGGATTTCGACCAGTTTGCGGAACTACCAAGCATTACAGTGGTTCTGTGTAGCATTCGTTGTGGCATGCGATTAATTTAATGAAATGACCCGGCCAATAGCGTGACCGCAACTGGTTGAAGAAAAAAAAAAAGAAAAGAAAAGCGCCTGTTAGGACTGGCCCTCAACACCCGCTGCAGAAAAGCCTCGTAAACCCGCACCTACTCAACGACCTGCTCACCCGCACGAAATCCCCGCCTTCCATCAAACTGATCTGCTTACTGTACAGTACCAAGGGTTGCCGTACATCCCCCCGTGCACCGACGTCCCCCGCCGCTGTCACTTTTGCGCCTGCTTCCGTCCTCTTGCCAGACTATTTAACGGAGTGAAAACGCGTGGGGGGGGGGGGGGGGACAACATCAACGTCCCTGCGTCCGAAACTTTTCCACAAACCATCCCCACCTGGGCAACTGTACCAAACCCATCCCGCCTGCCCACCCTTTCACCATGAACTCTGTCCCTCTTGCCCTGCTAACACTCGCGGCCGTCCTCAGCCTCGCGTCATCCAAGAGCGGCAAGAACCCGTGCCACCCGAACCGGCGGGTGGAGTCGCTGGGCGTGCCGTGCGAGGGCATCTACCTTCCGCCGGGCATGTGCGACAACTGCGAGCTGTCCGCGTACGACAGCCGCGGCAACTTCAACGACTGCCAAGCCATCTACAAGATCGGCGAGCCGGCGTGCCGCTCGCAGATCGAGCGCTACTCCGAGCTCAACCCGTGCGACACGGTGCGGAAGAAGCAGCTCGAGGACTTTGACGACCCGGACAACCGCAAGGCGCTGGACTACTTTGTGTACTCGGTGTGCGAGGAGTGCTGCGACTGCATCCCGCGCGGCGCGCGCAGCTCGCAGTACGAGGAAAGGAAGAGGGCCAGGCCGAGGACCCTGACGTCGCTCGTGCGCGGCAACTGCCCCGCGCACGCGCATTACGATATCTGTAGGGTGTGGCCGGAAATTAGACACGTGACGCGGCCCGGGGGTACGCTCAGGCTCGGGCGACCTAAGGCTTGCCCGAAGATCAGGGAATGGTTCTTCAGCCCCGCTAGCAAAGGTTGGGCAGGGCAGGATAACACCGATATTAGTCGCGACGTGAGGAATTTCTTGGGCAATTTTAACAGCGTGGCGAGGTGCCGTAGGAAAAGTACTTGGCAGAGATGCACGGACCTTGAAGTTGCTCAGAGGCGCATTTGAGGGGCGGGTCGAAGCGGTCTTGAGGTTTTGCGCTGTGGTGACTGATTCTCGGCAGATGCGGCTCTGTGCGTAATTAGAGGCGCAGGCTAAGGAGATATTTCATGCTCTCCTCGATGGGGGTACAGCAACGGTACAGCAGACCCACTGTAGTAGTGTACGGTATGTAGTAGAGTGATGTGGTAGTTTGGATTGGGCTGTGGTTTTTTCGATCTATTTGTTGTTGGGTGGGGTAGCAATTAGCTTGAACTGCACTGGAAAAGACAACTGTTACCTTACCGTATATATGAAGCACTGTTCAAGCTTGAGGATGGGTATCGGATTGTACGTCATGTACGTGGTGTAAAACGGCCTAGCGTATCAGCGTATATGAAGCACTGTTGAAGCTTGAAGATGGATACCAGATTACACGTCATGTACGTGGTGTAAAAACAGCCTAACTTTAGTGTAGAAGCGCCATACCGTATATATGAAGCACTGTTGAAGCTTGAGGATGGATACCGGGTTATACGTCATGTACGTGGTGTAAAACGGTCTAGTACAGTATAACTTAGCAGCGCCATACTTCTCTAGTGTGGGGCACTGCACCTATTGTACACTCTCAGTGCGCTTCTGCGCGGTCCTGTAAAGCTTTACCTATCTCCATGTGTAGTACAGTACCCTTGGGTACAGTACAGATAGTGCACTGTCGAGTGTGGGCAATGGGATTTCACAAGTTGGACGTAGAGGGGGGGGGCATCAAGGCTTCCGTGGGCACTGATGTTATGAAACGGGGCGTACTGTACGTATTATAAAATCTCGATTTGGTGAACACAATTTGCGATTTTAGGATTTCAGGAGGCGCCCATTGGGCGCCTGTGGAATGTCTTTCAGAGCCTCACGGTTCGGAAAGATTTGGTTTCGAAAAGATCTCACAGTAATGAAACTGTTTGGTGATGTGCACCAGTTTAGAAGCTGTAGAAACCGTGGGGAAACGGAACCGTGCAGCTGCGGTGCGGTGCAGTACTGTTGCGCCTACACACACGTGGCAGGCGGTGTCGGTTTCGGGAATGGGCGGCGTTCGCTGCGAAGGGAAACGGTCGTGGTAATGGGCAGTGCGTGGGCCAACAGGGTAGTGGAGCTTGAGGGATCGAAGGGAAATGGCGGGGCGACGCCAAGGGAAACAGGCGGCAAGGCGCGAAAGGAAAGAGGACGGAAATGGGGTGATTGAGGGGGCCGACGGAAGGCGGGAATGGATTGAAGCGAGACGCGAGAGACAGCGCCCGGGGGGCGGGAAGGCGCGCCGCGTAGGATAGGTAAATTAGTATAAAGGAGGGGATCGGGGAGCAAAAAGGAGAACGGGGGCATCAGGTGGATTCCTGAGAAACCGAGGAGAGGGGCTGATATCGGGTGGATTCCCGTGGATTCCGAGTGGACTCTCGGCAGCAACCTCTGGATACGAAATAAATCCTGATTTGACGGTGCTCATTTTATCGGGCACAACAGTACAGTACTTGTACCAATCAATGGTAGCGTACCAAGGGTACTGTACGTAGCTTCTTTTAGGCGCCAAGGTCAGGTGCACGGGAATACATGCTGCATCGGACGTCCCTGTAAGGAGAGGATTTGTCTCGACGACAAATGCCGCATTTATGCCAGTGCTGTATGATGTTGTGATTTATGTGCATGCTGCCCTATCGCGAGACTACTTCCCATTCCCGTTCTCTATCAACGTCCCAACCCACACACCCCGCTACCCACCCACCACCCACCTATCTGCAGCTCTGAACGCCCTTGCATCTCAACATCTTTCAGGAGGCATGCCTCGCGGTTGACAGTCCGAATTCATTGTGCACCACATTCCACAATCTCCTTACTACGTATTCCAATGTCTTCCGCTCGCTGTTGCAATCACCGGTCTCCGCTCTCCTGCCTCTCCGCCGCTTCAAAACACTCTCGCGCCCTCCCTTATTCTTATCCCCTCTTTCTTCCCCGCCTTCACCCCTCAACGTGACCCACATCCCCCCCGCGCCGCTTCATCATCATGACCGCTTTCCTCACCAGCGCCGCCCTGCTCGCAGCCGTCCTAGCCCTGGCCTCTGCGAGCCGCAACCCGTGCCACAACAACCGCCGCACGCAAGGCGACGGCGTCACCTGCGAGTCCATTGTTTTCCCTCCCACCCTATGCCAGGCCTGCAAGCTTCGCCCGCGCGCCGAACGCGGCAATTTCAAAGACTGCATGGACATCTACGACACCTCCAACCCACAATGCCGCCAGGCCCTGCGCCGCTACGCAAGTCTCAACCCGTGCGACGTGCAGCGCAACCGCCACGTCCGCGACTTTTCTAACTCCCAAAATCTCATCGCCCTCGACTACTTCATTTACTCCGTGTGCGAGCAATGCTGTGATTGCATTCCGAGGGGGACAAAGCCCGGCGAGTTTGCAAAGAGGAAAGCCGCCGGCACGTTGATCAAGGTCGATCGCGCCAACTGCCCGGCGCATGCAAGGTACGACGTCTGTAAGGTGTGGCCAAATATTAGGCATCTCAGATCTCCGTGGGAGCGGCTGCCGCGCGATTTGAACACTCTTTGGCCGAAGATCTGTCCCATCATTTTCAAGTGGGCCGACTCGCCGGATGGACAGAACTTGTACAATAAGGATCAAATTAATCAGCCTGCAAGCATGACACAGTTCTTGACTAGATACGTCAAGGTTGCCTTTTGTAGCAAGAAGGCTTTCTGGAATGAATGTACGGCGCTTGAAAAGTCCCAGTTGCGCATTTGAGGATGCAGCCTTCTCCATTGAGTCATTGGTCCTGCACAGTCGACCATGCCGGAATCGAAGCATTTTGTAGCATAGGAAACTGTTCTTGACTGGTAAAACATTCCGCAAAGACTTCGCTCAACAAAACTAGTCTTCTACAGTAATCGTCTCAAAGCTAACGGCACAGTGTACAGAACCAAGTGCACACCGTATGTATATCGAAGCAGTCCGATCAACTTTTCCTGGTTTGCATCGCTTGAAGAGTGGTGCGGCCCAGAAGGGTCGTGCACATTGGGAGCTCGATGACTGTGGCGACGGGACTGCTGGGTCCTACGCTTGTGCAACAACGAACCACGGGGACACGAAATTTATGGAGGAGGGAACTAGTAGAGTGAGGATGTGTTTGAAAAGGTCACTACTAAGCCGGAAGGCTCACATGACTCGACTTGTTCCAAGACAGAGCCATCTCCAGTACTGTAAGGCATCAGTGGTGCAGTGCATGTCTTTCCGTCGTCGCACTCAAGTTGACACATTTCAGCGACAGAGGGGCCTCCGTCCCTGATAGTGGCAGAGCGAACCCTTGAAGATTGATGCAGGGTGGCAAAGCTTGATAGCATATCTCTCAGAACCGAAGACCATCGAAGCTCTGTGGGCGACACTACCCTTCGGTAGTGTCGAAGGTAGCAATTAGCTTGAACTGCACTGGGAAAGACAACTGTTACCGTATATATTGAAGCACAGTTTAACTTACCTAAGTTACCTTCAAATGCAAGTGCGAACTGCTTTGTGGTGTCGCCTCACCTCCACGTGCCAGCTGCACACGTGGACAAAATATTGTTACTTCAGGCACACAAGAGAATTACAGTATCTATTTCTGAAACCGATGAGATGCTTGCTCTGCTCAGCCATGGAGCCTCGGTCAAGCTCTTTGCAAAGAGAAGGGCGATGGTTTCAACCTCACTCTCCGTTTCAGATCTTGCAAATTGATTTTGCAAATTGATTCTTCGCTATTGGAACATGCCCGCAGCACTTCTCCAAGAAGAATCGTCAGAACGGGCTCGTCATCTTCTTCCACAAAATGCATACGACTACTATGCCGGCTCTGCCGGAGACGAGCGCACATACTATCAAAATCTCCAAGCATTTCGGGCAATCCTCTTCCGTCCTCGCTGCCTCATTCCTGTATCAAAGGTTGACACATCTGTCACGCTCCCAACTTTCGGCAACCTCAGTGCCCCGATCATCGTAGCACCCATGGCTATGCAGAGAATGGCCCATCCTGACGGCGAAATTGCCGTCGCTCGCGCGGCTAAGCACCTAGGGCTAGGCATCGTGCTCTCCACCTTTTCGACGGTCAGCATGGAAGACGTCGCTCACGTCGGCACTAATCGCCTATTTCAGTTGTACTTGTACAGAAACAGAGCCGTTTCTTTATCGCTAATAGAGCGCGCGAGGAAGTCCGGATATAAAGGTATTGTACTTACGGTTGATGCCCCAAGATTTGGTCGGCGAGAGAGAGATAAGGACAATGCTTTCCATCTGCCGCCACATCTCACGTTGGCCAATTTTTCTCCAACTAGTACTGAAGATGCAATTTTAAAGTCTGGGAAACGATTGTCCGCCTTGAATCTCATGGGTGGCTTGCATCTTGAGCAGAACCTTTCTCCAGAAATCTTGACATGGCTCGTTAGAACTGCAAAACTGCCTGTTTGGGTGAAGGGCATCCTGCGAGGTGATGATGCTTTAATTGCTGTCAGGGCCGGCGCCGCCGGAATCATTGTTAGCAACCATGGCGCTCGTCAATTGGAGGGTACAATACCAAGTATTCAGGCATTGCCTGAAGTTGTCGAAGCCGTGAACGGGCGAGTACCCGTGTTGCTCGACTCTGGCGTTAGAACCGGCGAAGACGTCGTGAAGGGCTGCGCCTTGGGTGCAGATGCTGTTTTAGTCGGAAGGCCGGTTCTCTGGGCCTTGGCTGAGGGTGGGGAGAAAGGCGTGCATGACCTCTTGAATGAGATGAAGAGAACCGTGGACCTAACAATGGCGTTGTGCGGAGCGCTGAACACCTCGAAAATAACTAAGTGTATGATTAAGGTCCCTCCTGAGTTTCGGCCCGTTCGAAGCTCAAAACTCTAATCCCTAAACCCAACACCAGCGCACGTTGCCGCTGTCAAGAAACATGGCAGAAGAAAAGCCGGTGCGACCATCCGTGCGTGCTGCGTACTTTTTCAAACCAGAATCTTCTATGATGCCCATCGAAATGCAGCAGAAATATTTTAAAAATTGGTGAAGCAAGGCCATCACCAGAAGCTTGCGGAGAAGAAGCATGGACTTGATGCATAGACGTGCCCAGAGATGACGAGATGCAACTTCGGTGGCTGCCGCGTAGAGGAATACTCTTCGTTCTGGCGATGGATTGTCGACTTTCTCACTTTGTATGTCTTTGGCTGCTATGAGTTGCTAAGGCAACTAATTTCATCGTCTTATCCGCATGCGCGTCATTGCGAACCCGCGCCCCCATCGGGCTTTGGAGGGACAAACTCGCTGATCCTATTGACTGGATGTTCCACTGGTATTGGATATGAGCTTCTCAAGCAACTCCTAGCCGCAGAGCTAGATGTGGTTGCCATCACCCATAACCAAGACGCGGGACTACCCAGAAAATGCAAGCAAGTTGTGGTCGATTTTGGGTCGACGTCGTCTACAGAAAATGGTTGCATCACCCTCTCAGGAATTGTTGAAGAGCTAGGTGCCAAGAGGCCTGTCATTCTGGTTCATTGCGCAGCTGTCCTTCACCCGAAAACAAATGCCAACTACTCTGCTTCTACCATTGTAACCAGAACGCTTACTATCAATCTCCTAATGCCCATGCTTTTCGTCAAACGGCTCAGTGAGTTATTAAGCGGCATCGTTTGGATTGGGTCCTCGACTCAGTACATTGCTCCAAATTTGTTTGATTCGCAGTGCCCCATGCACGTCGCCAAGACGCCTTTTTCCGCATACCCCTTGTCGAAGTTACTCGCCTTCGTGTTCGCGGAGCGCTGGTCTATCATCAATTCCAAACCAGTTGTTGTAATACACCCTGGCGTTGTTGCAACTGGCTTGTACAGAGACGAACGGGGGCTCGTGGGGAAGATCCTTCGACGTATGATGCCGTTTTTTGCATGGACTCCGGCATTTTCGGCAAGAAGAATTTTACAGCTCGTCAGTTACGGAGGGTTTTTTCATCATTTGGAGAAACGTTTCGATCCCTCAGGCGCGCCCCAAGGTTCCATTCCTGTTTATTGGGATTCTGTGACCATGGGACCAGGATTGCTACCCCTTCAGATTCTTGACCAGGGCCAGCGAAACAAAATTGCCGAAGCGCTTAGTCACATCACTGAAAGGCGTATGGCATCGGAAAGGAGTTCAGCCAGTTCTATGGATTAGCCTAGCCGCAACGGTCCTTAAAGTTAAGCCTATTCTTACAAGACGTCACGTCACTGAGCACCGGTCAGGTTGATTATGACTGCCCATCTCGTGAAGATTTTGGCAGAGTGTCATCATCTTCAATAGGACTTGTTGCAATGTCTCCTGCCTGTTCGGCGACTGCCAGGCTTCGATCACCTGGAGTGACAGACATGATGGATTGAGGCTCACTGCTTGCTATGTTCTGTTCTTCTTGATCTTCAATTTCCTCAGGATACTCGAAGTCCAAGACTTTTATCTCAACAGGTTGAGAATCTTGACGTGTTTGGGGAGAATTTAGTAAGAATTCGTCATGTTCAACCAGGTTCTCAACGTCTTGAGATGGAAGACGTGTAAACTCCGATCCGTGTTCTGTTCGCCCCCTTTCTTCTCTGAGGAGGTTGTCTGTCATCTTGGCGTCCGGTATCAACACAAAAACTAATGGAAACACAAGCAGGGGAAGAGACACATGGGCGATAAAAATGGCCATGGGAAGGTTCGTGAAATTACAGGGAGCCGTCGTCTTGATTCCAAGATAATCGATTAGCGCGACACCGACTGTCCGTGATACATTGGATCCCAGATTTTGATAAGACGCTAAGAGCGCATACACGCTGGCCTCCATTCCTTTCGGACAAACCTTGGAAGTCAGTACAACCGCGGGCATGAAGTTAAGTGTATAAGCCACTTGAAAGAGAACAGCATCACCTAGCATAAAGGCAACTTTGTCTGGGATACCAAACCGAAGGTTGTATCGCTTAACAATGAATATGTCAAAAAACGAAGCTGCTAGCTTGACCAAACACGTTGTCCAAAAGGCAGTTCGAAAATTTCCACGGCTTAGGAATCTTTGAAATGCGGCAACTCCTATCCCACCTGCCAAGCTGCCGACGAGCGATGCATAGGTGACGTAATAGGTAAACGAGAAGTGAGGCCCGTTTGGCACGCATGTGTCGCTCCCGGTAAACCAGTAATCCAGAGCTCCAGGCAAAGACACATAAAGCATACTACTCAGAAACATGAACAAGTTTGCCTGCTTGAGCATGGGCGGAAGCCACCTCATGCCATAGACACAAAGTATGAAAGCAGTTATTAATGAAAGGATAGACTGGGACTTTCCGGTACCAAACAGCGCTGCACCGCCGACGACCAAAGCGCCTGCTGTCATCAGCACTGAGAGCTTAAACAGATCTGGGTGAGCATTGATTTTATCCCTTCGTATGCCTCGCTGACCTGGTGGAAGGGAAGTCTCTGGGAGCCAGCCTGCGGCTACGGGTAGAATAACCTGGGCCGCGAGCGGGAGGCATACCAAAAAGATGTAACGCGGGTTGACATGATCGGCCATGGGGCCGGCGATCAAAGAGCCTAGAAAGGTTCCTGCCATGTATAGTCCCCAGACATATGTGACGAGGTCGCTGCCGCTCTCAGGCTTGCTGACCATCATCTCTGCATACTTTCCCTCACATAGGAGATCCACGACAGCGAGTTGGAGATGAGCCAAAAGCAAGAGAAGGGCAGCTAGAGGTGCGAGGTATGGAGTAAACTGGACGCTGCCAAGGACGCCTAGGCAGATTGTGCCGAAGACGGAGACAAGAAGGATGTATGAAGTCTTGTGATAGCCATAGAACGGGACGGTATCGGAGAGCAGACCGATTGCTGCTTTGAGTGCCCAGGGGGTCTGGGCGACGGTACCATAGCTCTGGTATTTGTCTCCAGTGACGCCGAGATTTTTGAAATACGGAAGCATTGCGCTTGTGGCCATTTGACTAGGCGACGAAAAGTCGGGGTTCGTACGAGAGAAGAGTTTGTCAGAAAAAAGCTTTCCTATCTTGGTAAACGTGGAAGCTATTCTGCGAAGCATTCAAAGGAAGAACATTAGAGTATAAATGTGATTCTGAACAGATGTGGGACTTACAAGATGAAACCCTTTAAACAGGTATAAACCGATACGAGCAAAATAGCAAAATGCCATCCAAAGTTGTGCACGATACTGCGAAAAAAGTCGCGTCCAGAATGGAGTACCATGGTGGCGTTTCAAGAGATTGGCAATTGAATGGGATGGCGACGATGATAAGAAGGTTTAAAGCGCGGGGTTAGTTGCAGCGGAGGCGATAGCTCGCCGTCGCTTGAGATTGTAAGGATATCATTTGCTTGAGGATGAAGTCTGGAAGAAGGACCTGTTCTTCGTCCACAACTTCTGAATAAGGAGCTCGCAGTGGTGGAGTGTGCATAGTCTGGGAGAACAGAGAGAGAGAGGAAGCCCAGGATAGTTGCCGAAGAAAAAAGGTTGCCGAAGAAAAAAGGATTAGAACTGGCTTAGGCCATGAGGGCGGTCATTGTTGCGTATGATGATTGGCGGAAGGCATTAAGGCTAATGCTCTCATCTGGGTTTACCCTTATGATGGGTACCACCTAAATATATTCAATAATTATAAATTCCCTTGCAAAACCGTCTTCATTTTATTGCAGATTGCGCTCCCCATAATATCAGATGCACCTCCGTTATCCACAGAAATTTCAAATTAATTTAGAAAGCTCCAATTGTAACTCTTAAAAGGTCAAGCCAATGAAGGAGGAACACATGGCATTCGAGAAGGCTATGCAGTCATTTTGCCGTTCGTCACTCGGGGGCCTGACACACTCTGAACACAAGAACTGTGTTCCCTCATCGACTTTTCTGGCGTTCTTCTATCTACGTCGCGACACCTTTACTAGTTATTGCTCCTTGCTAGCCCATACGCGCTTCGATCCCTCTCCTGAACCACAATCACGTTATGGCTATGATGCCGCCTCCAATGGTGCCGCAGCCGATGCCACCTACGCATGCCCCGACGCCCTCTCCGCTGGGACCACCGACCAGCCAAGAAAAGGTAAGCGCGACCGATGCTTGTCACCCTCCAGGCCGACTTTCCAATTCCTAGTTCCTCCGCTCAGAGATCATCCTGCTGACTCCCTATTCCCTCCCGACATGTTTGATTCCTGCTCCAATTTCACAGACCCCTCCAAAATCTGTCATCGACACTGCGCATGCCGACATGGTGCACGACGCCCAGCTCGACTTCTACGGCCGCCGCCTCGCAACCTGCTCGTCTGACCGCACTATCAAAATCTTTCACGTCGATCGCAACGGCGCTCACCGACCGGAAGCCACACTCGAAGGCCATACTGGACCCGTTTGGCAGGTCGCCTGGGCACACCCGACGCGACACGGCCGACCGATGCTCGCCTCCGCCTCGCACGATGGCCGCGTCATCGTATGGATCGAAGATGCCCCGGGCATGTGGCGCAATTTTTACGAGTACGCATGGCACGCCTCCTCTGTCAACTCGGTTGCCTTTGCCCCACATGAGTACGGTCTCATTTTTGCGTGCGCATCGTCGGATGGCTTCGTCTCCATCTGCTCCCAGCTGCAGGATGGCACTTGGGATGAGAGACGCGTCAGCGAATCGCGGGACGGCGGCGCACATACGCATCCTCTTGGTGCCAATTCAGTTGCGTGGGGACCCGCTATTACGCCAGGCGGTTTGTGGATGCCAGAGCGTGCCACGCCCCCGCCGATGCGAATTGTCACAGCGGGCTGTGATCACCTGATCAAGATCTGGAAGTTTGACAATGACGCGAACAATTGGTTACTGGATGGGGAGCCTTTGAAAGGTCACCGTGAGATGGTGCGGTGTGTGTCTTGGGCCCCGAATGTTGGTCTTCCTCGCTCAATCATTGCTAGCGCAGGGCAGGATAAGAAGGTTATTTTGTGGAATCAAGAGCTCGAAAGTGACACCTCAAAAGCTGAATGGACGAAGACCGAGCTACCAGCGTTCGCGGGGCCGGTGTGGTCTGTTAGCTGGAGCCCGACTGGGAGCGTGCTTGGCGTCGCATATGGCGATGATAAAGTGACGTTGTGGAAGCAGGAGCTTGATGGATCTTGGAAGAACGTTACGGACGTCACAGCTGAGGGGACCGCCGTGCCGGAGTCGTCATGATTTGTACAAATGAAAGAAGTTTTTAACTGCCGTGTCTACAACGGGTCAGGGATCATGATTTCTGTCGCAACGCGATGCAGCGGTGAAGCCTTCAATACTAACAGGAGGGGGGGCACTGCCCGCTTAAAGCGATAATTAAGGCGAAAGAAGATCAGCATGACTGCGACCAGTAAAACGCATTACGTTCGTGTATGGCTCAGGTATTTGTGGCGGACTGAATCTATGCCTGCATACCATATGTCCCTTTTTCCGAGACGAATGCCGCGTACCGCTCGTCGAATGAGCTACAGGTAACGAAACAAGCGCTCTTGTATCACTTTGGTAGCATTTCCCGTCTTTCCTCCCACCGATTATTGTTCGCTGCTGTACCACTCTCCGGCATTTTGTCGCACGCAGCACTTTGTTCACCATTCCGATGCAATAAGAGTCTAAGACCTTCTCGCACCTCCAATCGGTTGCTCGCCACTTCGGCGATCAGTTACGGCAGAAAAACTACCACATACATCAGGCTTGACTCCAAATTGCACCGCCACCGATCGCATGTGAGAGTGCCATCCCTTGATCGGTACTCTAATACGCTCGAGTCCCTGCTCTGTGTGCGCACAGGTTGTTCTTTAATTAAAAACAGAAGCCTATTGCTTATCTGGTGTCGATGAGATTATCTACATTTCGTCCCGAGGAGTACATCGCGATCTAAGACTTTAAAAGAACTATCTAAGCTGAGGACTCAGCACCGAAGCTGTAGTCGCAGCCTCATTCGTGTCACTCCCTTGCAGCGAATCATCTTGTTTATTGGCGGGCACAAACAACGAAACGGGCCAAATCTGAGAATCCTTCCGCACCGTTCATTCCCGTTCGTTCTGTTGCCGAAAACACAAGTTATTTGGGAAAACTGCACAATGCAAATAGCTTGTTAGAGTACGGTACAGCTCTGTGATCTACAGTCAAAACTTTGTCCCACTTCCTTCCACTCCTACGAATTGCGCGCCTGCGTGTATCCTCAACACACAGTCTGCATATTGTAACATTAATTTCAGTTCGAACGAACCGGCTGGTGCAGATAAGCAATAGTCATTCATAGTGATTTGCAAAACGCGTCACTCCACACCGAAAGTTATTCTTTGGTCGGCCGCAACGTCAGTGACCTTTGCGTTGACTCCATTTGTCCATTGAACCCGAACACATTCAACCTGAGTAAATGAGCCAATTCCAAAGTGCACCGTAGTAATATACGACTCTCCGCCACCTTGTGTTCCAGGAGACCCAATACGCCTTGTAAGCCTTTGTCCGTCTACGAAGACGGTCACTACAGCGTGCAGTGCTGTGGCCCCACGAGTAGGGTCATTTGCAACTGTCACTAATAAATAGCGAGAGTTCTCCGCTGACTGCAGTTGTCCTTTCATCACTAGATATTTGCCTTCAATGGTATCAACATCTCCATGTCCAACAAATATATCCATTCGACCATCAAAATCGTAGTCGACAGCCACAGCGTGGTTCCCAACAGTATTTACATCCTTAGGGATGAGGCCTTCGACCTTTTTGAAGGTCCCATCTCCATTGTTGAGTAGCAAAACATCTGGTTCCCTATATCTTATGACCACGATATCCACAAAGCCATCATTGTTAAAGTCACCGGTCGTAACTCCCATGCTATTTGAACCAGTAAGTATACCCGAATTCTCAGTTACATCAACATACTTTCCATTCCGATTTTCAAAGAGATAATCCGAGTAGTCATCATCCTCCAATTCTGGTCGATTCGTCATGACGGTTCGATCTGCCCGAGCAATATACAGATCAAAGTCTCCGTCATTGTCAAAATCGATCTCTGCTACCGCATTGATGGAAAGCGGAGGTACTTCAAAGTCTTGCGGCATGACATCTCTGTTGACTTTCTCAAACGTGAACGGAGCAACGAGCCGGAAAATTTCCAGAGATCGGATGCTAATGAGCTCCATGACTCCATCGCCATCGGTATCTGTCACGGCCACTCGTCCGCGAACTTGATATTGGAAACCTGGAAGTTCACGCAATTTAAAGTTGCCTTGAACATTCTCGTATGCGAACTGCACCAGGCCTGATGTCTTAGAGCCCAGAAAATTAGTGACAACCATGTCTGGCCCTCCTTTGTTACTCCATTTCTCCGAATTCTCCCGCAGAGCAAGATCCATGAATACTATATTTCTGCCTCTGCTGGCACGCTTGCCGAGACCATCAGAATCTGATATATCAGTGATGACGCGGTCCGGGCTTATCGAGTAGATCTCTGTCTCTTTCAAGTTCGTTCCCATGCCTCCTCCAACAGATATTGCTAAGATGGATTGAAGAGATTGTGCAGTTCTATGCGCAGAAGTCACACCATGAATATCTCTACGCTTCGGAATGAATTCATCTAGCGTGAATGTGCCATTTTCTTCTCCGAAGTAAATCCTTGTGCGTATACCATTGTGAAAGGAGAGGACTAGATCGTAAAACCCGTCGTTGTTGAAGTCCGCGATGAAAGGACCCCCAAACTTCAAGCTGGGGATGGGCTGAAGGATTCCTACATCAACAGTGACATCTTCAAAGATGATAGCTTCCGCCGACTTTCCAAGACTTCGAATCCCGACGAGGGGTTTTGGATCTTCTCTGGCCCTGCCATGAAACGAGGGAGCAATAGACCCGCTGCGCTCCGAATCGAGGCCTCTCGCCAATGGCTCAGATATTGCCTGTCCTTTTACTGGTGGTACGGAATCGCGAAAGGAAGGGATCTTTCGAAAAATGAGTCTTTGCATGTGTTTTGTGAGTGAGAAGAAAGAAAGAGAGCTCCCTGCTGTCCAACTATGAACCTGAGCGGCACCCTGTGCCTTCACTCCTTCTTGCTCGGCAGCCACTGAAATCAGCCATGAAGAAAAGCGAGATGGGGCGAGGGCTATTATAGTGTTTGTAAAGGCCAAACGGAAAGTGGTATCTGATAGACGGAAGAAAGGCTTGCGAGCAGATGATCCACCCTGTCTGTAGTCAGGGGGAACGATGTTGACGCAGACCAGAACCGTGGGCAAAATGAGAAGAATAACGGAGAAGAAGAAAATCTTCATTATTGTTGCTAGTTGCGTAGGAAGGACACGGCTAGTCCCGCTATCAGGCGGACATATGAGGAGCGGCGGAGGGAATGTAGCGGGGAAGAGTAAAGCTGTTGGGCTTATAGCCTCTGACAGCAAGACAGGGAAGTGTGCATATTAAGGGTCAACTAAGAGGTTCGATTGCGTAACATTGTGCAGTAGGTGCGATCTGGCAATAGCGACGACCCCCTCTGTTTGGTAATAGAAGAAAATATGATAATGCTTGCTTGGAGATGGATAAGGGAGGTGTTACTAAGACCACGACCGCGATAACCGCTACTCCGCACCACTCCGCGCCACTCCGCGTAGGTTCTGTTTCATTGGTCATTAAGGCTTATGCTCAGCGCCCGTTCGGTATCAGCGACAGCCCCTTACTTGTTTCTGACCGTTGGAGTAGCCAATCTATTCTCGTCCCTTCAAAAATGACACCGAGCATAAGCTGCAGCAAGGGGTGACTTTGCCCTTGCTGCAGAGGTAACCTAGCGCATTAAGCAAAATGAAAAAATGTACCGAGAATATGACTTGAAATAACGAATATTAAGTGAAATTAAGTCGCAGTATTTCATAAATGGGACAACAATACGCCTCTTAAGATCAGCATCACAAACGTCATGCGTCCTCAGCAAGTGATCCAACTGCCGGCAGGGTTTTTACTGTACCCTTTACAGTACCCTGGGATCACTGAGCCGGTATGTCGTTTTGGGAACATAACTCCATGTGGTTTGCTTCCTGTACCTCCCATACACATTCAAATGTAATAGCGTGTTCCCTCCAGTTGTCAAAACCAGTTCCGTGATAGCCGACCCCAAAAACCATAGATAGTGACGGTTATCTGTTATTCCATATATCAAAATATGGTTTCATGGATAGATAGATTGACGGATTGGACTTTTTTTTTTCTGCGGTTTGGTTTTTCCATTGCGAGTGCAGCATTTCCTAACCAAGGTTTGACACGGTTTCCCTTGTTTTTTTTTTCTCGTGGAAACGGTTAGTTCAGTACCCATGGATGGGGTATCCGCTCGGCACTCGTCAAAACCCTGCAGCTTTCTATTTATCGATTCCCATCCATTTTTTGGTATCCGAGACAAGTACAAGTTTAATACTGAACAGGTCAGCCACACAAAGCAACAACCTGTACTACCCTTGAAGGGTAAATTAATGAAAGCGAATGAAAGCAGATTTCTTTTGCAATCTGCGTACAGAAGTCGATTCTCATTACAATATTGGCTCATCAAACACCGAGTGAAAAAAGCATTAATTGACAAAATGTGCGTACTACTGTAGACCCTTACTATTGTACTGTACCATACAGTGCAGTACTGTATGGACCGTTTTGTGGTTGTAAACACTGCAGAATGCACTTGATGTACCCTTACAGTAACTAAGGTAGAGGTTTGTAAAATAGTTGGCTTGTAGGGGGTGCCCAAATGCTATCAGCACTACTGTACCGTGTTGTAGCTGTACAGTAACTGTAAGATAGATAACCGTTCTGTACTGTACTAACGGAGGAGCTATGCCGATAAAGAGAGTTGCAGAAATGCAGGGATTGCTTCAAGTTTTTGGCTCGCGGGAGGGAAGTGCTATGAGGCGTTCCCAAAGTCGCAAAGACGTAATTTAGCTGTACACGTGGGCCCTTCAATGCCGGCTTGTGCATTACGTTTGAAACTTATTGTCGTCCAGTATGGGCTGAAGTGAATTATACAGTACCCTTGGTACTGTACCAAGGGTGCCCTTGGGTACTGTACCCAAATCACGAGAAGTGAATTATACATACAGTACCCTTTAGGGTACTGTACCCAAATCACGAGAGTGATGCCCATCCATAATACGTAAGTGGGTCTTCTCTTCTTCGAGTTGGACTACATAAGGCTTCTTGCGACGGTGCAGTACAGTACAGTACCCTTGGTACAGTACGGTAAGCTCTCCGATGAGGTCCGGTTTCCTCTCAGAAGCATGTGGGAACTTTGGTTCCCCAGGGAAGTACTGTGGCTCACATTAGGGTGTCAATGTTCAGGACATGTTAGTCAGCATCGCAGTTTTGGAGAAAGTGAACAAGCTTTTTCGAGGGTAAAAGGTGTGTCCGCATCCGCACGCGTCCACATCCGCATCTCCGTTTTTGCACGACCTCGAAGGCGGGAAGACCAGTTCCGTCAAGAAAGAGTTGCGAGCTACTGTACCAAGGGTAGTGTATAAACCAGTGAGAGAAGTCTTATTGCAGGCAAATGATTTGAGCTGGCTCTCGTGACCCTTCAATGGTGTTCTTGCTCCATGGATACAAGACCACAAGGCTACAAGTTCCATTCGGCTACAAGAGCCAGAGCGTGTGATTGGTAAGTACGTTCCATGGCTCTACATGTGAACGTGTGAAGGAAACCTGGTGTGTGCCGGCGATTTCGGGTTGTTTTTTCATTTTTGCTTTTTGCTTGTTTATTCATGCAGAAACTGAGAAACTTCATGATTCTTCATGAAGAAACGACTTTAGACAATGGGAGACACTGCATGGAGATGGGCTACAGGGACCCTAGGAAGGCATGGGGGATCTCGATTTCGATGGTTGATCGCGACTATCGGTGGGTCGCCTGAAGAAGGCCGAAGTGGTGATTTTTTCATTTTGCAGCATTATCTGGCAGTTTTTGCGCGCAATTGCGCGCAAAAACATGATTTAATGAAATCGCGAGGGATGCAGTGTGTTTGATAAGCACACAGTGTGTGTTTATCAGAGAGACTGCATCCCTGGTGGGAACGGAGTGCAGCATGGAAATTACAGGAACCAATGGTCGCTTGGCTGAAAAATACAGTAATCTTGTTTTTTTCCCCGCTCCGGTCTGCTAAAATCCCGTAAACCACAAGCCTGCGAAAAGCATTACAGTGATGCCGGGCCACCAGCCGGGCCACCAGCCATGTTGGCCCCGTGTTGGCCCCCTGCTCCGTCCTTCCAACGCGATGCGTCCTATAATAGGTGGCGGGGTACCGTTCTAGCGGCGGCGAGCGTTGATCACTCGGCGCCACGCGGCAGAAGGGCACGGGAATGATATTCCGCATCGCACGCGCAAATTTATCCGCACGCTGCTTGAGGGCAGTCATGAGGTGCGTTGCTGCAGCCCGTACAGTACCCTTAAAGTACCCTTCCCATATCCGACCACCCCTACAGTACCCTTCAAGTGGTACAGCCAGCATCCGCCCGTTGACTCTGCCCAAAACGAAAATTCCCGCACTACAAAATCCCCAAAATTAGAGTCGCGACCTTCGGCGCGTCCAGAGCCGCCGATATCACTTTGTGCCGGCAACCGCGTGTATGATGACGACTCTTCTTAACAGCTTGGTGTGCTGCTAACACCCACCCCTCTTCCCGCGACGCACTCCGCCAGACAATATGCCGCTATTCGCTTCCTTCGCTTCCAACCTTCACGAGTCTCCGCCACAATTCGAGCCCGCCCAGAGCACACCGCCGCCATTCATAAGAGACAAGCATGTCGCTACGAAAGCGGTGACATCCACATCGCGCCCGACAGCCATCTTTCTCGTCATTGCCCTTGCCGGCGCCCTCGTTCTCCTCTTCGACGCAGCATCCATCCGCACAACAGTCGCGCATTGGGGAAATCTTGCCGGTGAACGTCTCAGCGGCAAATCACTCTTGCTATCTAAGGGCGATCCCAACGAGTCTGAGGCTTCCTTGGCCTACTTCATTCAGATCTCAGAGTCCACCGTGCCCCTTCTCCCTCGTCTACTTCGCGTTGTATGGCATCCGGACAACGTATACGTTGTCCATTTCGACAAGAAGATTCCCGAATGGCAACGCTCACACGCAGAAGCTGCTTTGTTCAAAGGGAAGAAGCAGTACAAGGCCAACGTCCAGGTCATGAAACCCGAGACCGTCACATATCGAGGCATCTCTATGGTCCTCAACCTTCTCAGTGCGATGCAGTCGGCCTTGGACCTTGGTCCAGACTGGAAGTATTTCATAAACATTAGCGGAAGTGACTACCCGCTTGTCTCAGTGGAAAATCAAAGGAAGTTGCTTGGGACAGAGGACTTTTTGGCTCGCAATCGCAGCTTTTTCAGTTTCTCCAACGAGGGCTGGTGGGAGGAGAGCAAGGAGTACCGCTTCGACCTTTTGTACACGGATACATCCCTGTCTTTCAACGACTCAGAAAGCGAGGTCATCGCCGCGCACAAGGAGCAGCCCATTGCGAAGACGGCTGCGTTTACCTTTGTCGCCGCCGAGGCATGGATGATGCTGCACCGACAGTTTGTGACGTTTCTTCTCACGAGCTCATACGCACGACGCATGTTGCTATCGTTTTCCTATTCACTAGAACCAGAGGAGCATTACTTTGCTTCTGTGGCGTTCAACAACCAGCTGTTCAACGAGAGCAATGTCGCACATGCCATGCGGCACGTCCAGTGGGTGCATGATGGAAAGCACTCTGGGCAACATCCGTACTACATTGACGAGAAAGACGCGGATGGAAAAACATGGACATTTCGGAAAGAGATCGAGGACTCGAGCTGCTTCTTCACTCGGAAGATTCGAGTACAAGACTCGGGTCTCTTGACGTACATTGACACACACATCAGCGGCGTGGCGAAGAAACCGGTAATGAAAGATGTGAATGAGTACATGACGAGGGTGACAAACTCACTCGGATGTTTGGCAAACCTGCCCGCTGGGAATTTTTATGGTCCTTGCTTCAAGAAGAGGCGGAGACCACAGTGATGGGACACATATTTTACTCGCGAAGCAGCGAGATTATGACGTTCACAAGCAAACGTATACGGATAGGTTGGAAGCGCACTTTCGATCTTCAGAGGAGTTGAATTCCATAAATTTGGGGTATTTATTATCAAATAGGCGTCTGGGGATATCTTTCATGGAGATAAGGGGAATGGTACATGATGTACTCGGTGAAACGGACTGGGCTATTTCGACGATGGTCATGTGCAATACCGTAGCAGGAAGCCCGTTTAATTGTCCATCCCGCGTGTGATGAGCATGGCATGGGGGCATTAAATGGGCAGCTGAGGACGTGCCGTGTCATGCCATCCAACTCGTGATGGTGGACTGATACATATGTAGTGTGCATAGCAAAGTATTAAAGACAACTACGTGAGGCGAAGTTGTACTGTAAATAAAAGAAGCAAAGTGAGAAATCGTGGCATTTGAAGTTCCGATGGCAGGCGTCGGACCGTTTCGAGGCACACAGGCCCGAGCAACTACGCCAAGCTGCGGTGGAGGCGTTCCATGTTGTTCTGGTGGACGTTGCGGTGGATGCGTGTACATGTGAGAGAAGGGTTTGCAACTAGCCTATTGGCTAGTTGCAAATAGCAGTGAGAGGAGATCTCAGCAGCATTCCCTGATTGCCACGAGCCGCTTTTGCACAAGGGCTGTGAGTGACCCATGATTGCCTCGGCCGAATTTGTATTGTAAAGAAAGGAAGAAAAACATAAATGTTTTGTAGTAAACTCTGTGTCGAAACATGTATGACGTGTTTCTCATTTGGTATTGTGGAACACCTTGTCCATGGGCATCATGCGCCGTGCACTGTACGCCTACAGTCTCTAATTCGTTTACATGTGTTCGAATGTGCGCTGTGTATCGTGCTGACTGGGTGGCAACACCATGCCCCCTCAAATTCATCCGATTTCTAAATCTACAAACCCGAATGAATTGGTGTAATGGGCTTCTGACAGTATCCTTCAGACATTGAAGGTACGCTGTGCTCCCGCCGTTTTTTTTTTTTTTACACCCTCACAACTGTGACACTGTAGGTAACGAGAACACATCACGCTTCATCGAAGGACCCCCCCCGCCCATCCCTTTGCTTCCGCTTGACCGACGACATGTCTCCATCACATCAGATCATGGCGAATGATATAATCATACTGTAGGATGCAGCGACAAGAAATTATCGCCGGTGACTATTGACTAGCAAACTGGCACCCCTCCTGTCTGCAGCAATAACGTTTATACTAATCACGTCGCAAGCCTTCCCCGGAGGAATGCATATACGCAACCTTTTCGCAGGCCTTTTCGAATCACCGTCCCATCCTGTTGTCAGACACACCTCTTTAAACTTTTCTCATGCGTCCTCCGTACGAAACAAACTGCGGCACATAAAGGGGGGTGCTGGAGACGTCGGACAAAAACCTCAATATTAAAAGGAAAAAGTACTTGTAATTGTCAAGCAATCACCATTTTTTATGTTTTGCGACGGGGACACTCTCAGCCTGTCGTCCACTGGGACTTGGCGAAAACAACCACGGACACAGAAGAGGAGTGAGATTGAAGCGCGCGGACACTTTTGCACCTCAACCGAGCACTAAGATCGGACATCCAAGCAAATAAATAAAAAATAGAAAAGTCCGCCTACTTTGTATTTTTGGGTTGTTGCACACTTATACGTAGAAAGCCGTAAGCAATCGATTGAGATATTTTTTCTTTAATTTCAACCACGTCGTTCTGATATACGGCGCACTATCTGGCGCCGTTACGCGCGGCGGTGCTCCTTGGCCCGTGTCGGAGATATTTTTCAAAATATTTTGCATGTCCGATTTTTTTGTCACTGTCCGACAACATGATATTGAAAAATGATATTTTCCCATTCAATCTCTTTCCCTGAATAATCCCCAGCCTCCCAAAACCATCGCACACTTGATGATGGTATTGTGAAAATACTTCAAGAAAAATTGCAAGTTCGCTAACCCTATGCCCCGGTTCGTGATGATTTGGGGCGTCAACAAATTTGTTGATTTTTAGGTGGAAGTTCTATAAAAGTGATGTTCGTGATAGATGTTGTGCTTTTCGACGGCAAAAAACGTCAAAATTGTTTTGTCAATGGTGTTTGAACTGGAGCGCTTTTCGTGAATGAAATATTGTGAATGCACGAAAAATTCACGAACGGTAACGTGGAAATCGCACTTTTCGTGAGGCCAACTGCATTCTCGATTTTTGACGCCTGTGATTCCACTAACCGGTCATATACGTCGCTGAAAAGTCAAAATCACAAAAGTGCCTTATTTCACAAAACATTCTCCACTCTCCCTTAACGTCATCTGTGTCCAACTCGATCTTCTGCACCCATTTCGTTCCAGTCCATCGTATCGGGCGAATCTGAAAACCCGAACCTGGCATGTCCGACAACTTATGTTCATCCGGAAGAACCCATTCGTCACAGATCGTTTGTGCAGATGATAGTCTTGACCCCTTGCCATATGAAGCTTTACTAGATGAAAACTCCGGAGAATATGCCAGTGCTCCTCATGCAGTCGAAAATCCCCAAACACGCCATCCAGAGTTCGGGGCCGCTGGAAAAGGTCGGCAACCGTCTATCAGTATTGCGCCAACACAAAACGAATCTCCTGAATCGGCTCACATACCTCTCGAGAGATCTCCACGGAGCGGATCGCTAGAATTCGGACAGTATGAAAATTCATTAGCGCCCGTTCAACTGTCATCGACAGATGCATTGGTTCAAGGTAATCATACTTTGGGTGTGGAACAGCTATCTCAAATACATCAACATGTGTCTGTTTCAGGAAATAACAATATGCAGGACAAATTTCAAGACTCTATCGATGCGAGTGATATACCTTTCTCCCAGTAAAATGTTGCAAATAACTGTTCAAGCCCTTCTACAGATGACTCTGATGACGCATTAGGGATTGAGACAGTCGTCAGTGAGGCTGAGATCAGGTCTATTATACCGGCTACCCATTTGGCCATCTAACTGGCCTATACTGAATCTGGAGCTGCACTGTGCGAAGACTTAGATAGTAGGATTTATTATGATTATGACGATGAACGCTGTGCGTTTGGACACTTTGACGACCTTGAACAATCCCAAAACTGAGAATTAGGTGCCCCGGTATCTATGGAAGAGCTGGAGGCACGTGCAAGAACACAGCAAAACAGGGGGCTAGATAACTGGAATTATGATAGTCCTTTTGAGGACATCAATGTTCGCGTGGATGATGTCAACCAATGCCTCGAAAAAAGGTTCCTGGACGAGGCGAATGTGGCCTTGGAAAACGTTATCGCAGACATAGGACGTCGAGCTGCGGGGCCGCTACAGCATGACCGTCTAGAGGATTTCATAACCCCTTTGTCGTGCCTTCAGACTTTTGTATCTGACTGCTTGTAAGAAAAGCTTCCTTACGTCGCCAACAGGGTCCTGCACGAGCGAAAGCAGAAATGCACTACAAAGAGCGAGCTTCTGGGACTTGTCGTACTTCATATACTCTGTGCATCATATAATGAATGTCCAACTGTCGTTTGTAACCCGACCGAACGCGAACATTTTTCCAGATGGGCATTTCATCTGAGCGGTATTACGAAGTATGGAGCGCTCTGAGCGCGTCAAAAGGGTTGCGAGCCGCGCATGACTACTCAGCAACAGGCTGGTGCAGAACTGCAAACCGAGTCACCAGTATCATCACTGAATTGGAGTCCAAGACTGCAGCCATTAATCGAAAATTACTATTTATCCAGGGCTCTACAGCATTTTCTCTAGACGATGACCATCTCCGTATGTCTTCACGTTCTGTGGTGGAGTTAACGTATTTAAAACAGCATAATAACCCTAAAAAGGGTCTTGGTCCGGTGAGAAACGCGCTGTGCTCTGCTTTAAATCCCTTCTTTTAGGCCTGCCATTTTACCCGCACGGGAGAAAAGCTACTCCACATTTAGGAACGATTAGTTCCACTGGTACAAGGGGCATGTACCTCTGGGGCCTTGCGTCCTATGCCTGAAGCGATATTTGCAGCTGATCGTGGGTACAATTCGAAGGAGACTATTGCCTTTTTATTTGACACACTGGGTGCCAGTTTGCTTGGTACCCGCAAGAGGGATTTCTGGTATCCCTACGTATTCGGAGACGGACCAATATCACGAAAACACAAGGGAATGAATGTGTCCGAACGTGGGTGTCGCGCAGTTTATACTGCCAGTTTAAAGGGAGGGAGAGGGCGCGGCTCGCAAGTCCGTCGTGCCCAGGCCTCTGTATATCGAGAGAGCTGCTCGGGCCGAATAGCCGCTTTGATACATAACAATGCGACCCTTTTTCCGTCGAGGTGCTTTGCAATAGTGCTACAGGAGACGTTCCGAAGCGAAGGGTCCCTGGAGAAGCTGGAGGAGTCCTTGGTAACCTACGATGAGAGCCATACGCGGGCCTTAGTGGTCCGATCCGACATCGCAAATATTGGCAAAAGAAAGGTCGATCAGCTACTGAAGCGCTGTCGCGTAATGACTTACTACTAGTCTCAAGACCCTGTATGGTTTCTTCTCCGAGCTTTTAGATTTACGTCCCGTACTGCCCAAGGCTTCTTGGCAGCTGTAGCACGGGACTACGAGCAGAATCTTAATAGCATGTCGCGCAGACTCCGTGGCAAACAAGTTAATGCAAGGAGTGAAGAGTTGCCACAGGAAATCATGCTGGTGCGGGAGCACAATCGCCCTAAATGGGACAGCGTGCTCAGAGCACTGGGAATGACGATGGGGGTTCTCCCTCGCCATTCCTCGAGGCAAAGTACTGCAGAGCGCATTCAAGCAATGTCTACAAGTCGAATTGCCTCTCATACAAAAACAGAGGTACAGTCCATGTTAGATGTGTTTGGGAGGGGATTTGAGCAACGTACACCTAAGGCGGAGGTTGTGGCAGCAGTCAACCACCTGAAGCTCGACATTTGCGCAGGAACAGTAACAATTGAAGGACATTCTGA